CACAATACATGTTGGGGGTGTCTTGGTGAGTTTTTGAGTGCCATTGGTGCTGAAATATCATTATCATCATGGCATTGGGCCATTGGTTTGGTCTCATTTCAGGTCTCATTTCAGCCATTGGTCTGGGCATCATCATCCATGTTGACGTGTCTCGTTTCGCTTGTCTCTTTACCTCGCGCGTCCCGCAGAGGTCCACCGGTGGGTTCCCACACGCAGCGTGCGCCTGTAGGCCGGTGGCAGCTTGAACTATGTAATTGTGTCAGGCCACTTGATTGACAATGTTGGTGGTGCTGCTTGGAGATGCCATCCGCTACTGTAGGTCCCTGTTTGCAGGAACTACCCTCTAAAAAAGCTTGGAACTGAAGGAGGAATCTCTCGTTGCACTCCAGAACAGCTGGTTTTGTTGGGGGCATCAAATTTATGCACGCTTTAGATAAACCGCCCTCAGATTCCCAAACAGAACCCTTAAAGTGGCCTTCCTTGTGCCTACATTCATTACCCCAGTTGCTCCTAGATGCATGTTTGAACAGTGAACATGCTGCCTTGGAGCAGGCTTGGCCGGTACAAACCTTCCTTTGTCCAGGACAAGCGGGCGCAGATACGGAACTTGCTGGATTGTGAGGGTGCGTCCAACTTTTCCATTTAAGAAACTTGACCGGAGACGATTGGGCCGCGGTCTGTCTATGTGGTGCTGTTACTCCATGCATGGTGTGCGGTGCACAACCTGGCCTGTGATGCAAAAAGGCGTTGCGCATGGCCTGAAAAGTCAAGTCTTGATGATTCATGATCAAAGTTCTCGTCGGGTGGTCATTTTCAGAAAACAGGTCTTCAGAGTTGTGGGATTCGACTGAGTACCATGACAGGTCTCTTCTTCTTATCAAAGCGCACCGAAAGTGTCCTTGATTGGGTGGAGGGACTGGTTGGAAGCTCATTGCTGACTTAGATTTGGACCTTCCCTCCCCGTGAAGACAATTCCAATGCCAATGCCACGCGAAAAATGCCATTTTGGGATTCTCGTTCCTTCTCAGCTTGATGTGGATTTGCTTTCGGATGCAAGATGAAAACACTCGTTAGCTCGCGGAAGCTCGAGCTCTTACGCCACCGGGGGCGGAGGGGCGGTCCATATTGTTGCTGCATGGGGCCCGCCCTATTGGGGCCGAAACGTCGGCCGTCCAGCTCCCAAAGGAGAGTGGAGGCGAAAAAAAAAGACAATTCGATGGACAAAGCATTGATACTTGCTCCGTTTTTCATCGCAGACACCGGTGCCAAGTAGATGTCTACTCAAGAGGTCTCAAGGTATTTTCGCCATAATTTCGGCCAAGGTTTGATGAGTTTGTCCATCTAATTATATTGTAGGGCAGCCAGAGCCCTGCGGCCCATCACTGCGTGCTCAAGACTTGGCATCACCCTGTTGTGGAAGCAGGTGGAGCAGGTGGTCGACCATCAGGTGATCATCGCATTTAGACTTCTGATTCTGATGCAGCAGCAAATATTTGCAAGATGTGTTGTGAAGACCTAACGCACACATTTAATTTAAGTTGTTGCTTTCTGATTTATGCCAACTCACAAAAGAGTGTGGAGCACGCAAGGTGGATCGTTTGGACTGCAGGGTCATAGCTGGCACATCTTGAGATGTTCTATCAGTTCAAGCTCGTGTGGGTCTTCCACGAAGGGCCACGCAAATCATGTGACCTCGGGTTGACAAACATCGAAGGAGCGACCACGATTGCATGGGTTGGTGAGTGACAAGAGGGTGAAAGCAAAGCACAACGATGTCACTCTCTAGATTCTAGATAGTTACAGCAGTCCACAAATCCAGTGACTGAGGTGGCACTCTGGGAGGGGATTTTCTTGACGATTGAGTCATTTTGCGGGCGAAGTGGGGCCCACTAAAAGATGATTCAGGGTCGAACTCAAAGCAATTACCCCCTTCACCATTCTAGCAAAAACTTCATCCTATGACATGAGCAGCACAGGATTGAACCCCAAAATTCCTGAACTTTGCGGACCTAAAAGTCTTAAAGAGTTTTGGAGACCGTCTGTCCTCCAAAAGCCATCCAAAACCGTCCTAAAAGCAACGAAGCTCGGTGGGCGGACTCCGGACCTTGGTCCTTCACAGGCGCACCCAGCGAAGCCTGGCCCAGCGAAGCCGCACCTCAGGCCGGGAGTTTGTTGCGGCGGGCCGGAGGCCGAGTTCGGAATTTCAGTGGGTCTGATCAGAAGTTTGAGAGGGGTCATGAAGAGATGCAACATGAATGCAACATGCCAAATCACCTGCTATTATGGGTGAAGTGATATGAAGTTCCCCAAGAAAAGAGGCCGCAAGAGTTCGCCAGGGAGGATTACCAATTGTCCTATTTGCTGTGGTCAATTCAACCGGGTACACCCCAGTGAGCCAGGTGTTTGATCAACCCTGGACACCCAAGACCGTGGATGACGAACTCTTTAGAACGTGATTTGGTGTATATATTTTTTTGGACTGAGTATGTGTTGGGTTTGTCCAATTACCTGTTACAGTGCGCAAACAATAATATAATATATTATCACTATTTTTGAGAATACCAAGCATCATCCACGGTTACTGGTAAATGATGGATGGCCCATGATGACATATTTTTACCACAAGACCTTGGGCTGCAACTAGGCAGAGAAACACCGGAGTGGAGACGCCAGCTGACCATGAGTTCTGTCGTAGACGGCGCAGCAGAAGTGGTGAACAAGAGGATCCTCATGCCTCATTGAAACTGACAGGTTTCGCAACAAATTCTGCATTGTTTTTGTCCAAGCAATTTGTTGGAGGTTCCCCAGAAAGACAGGCTCCATAGTAACCCCATCACGCTGACACTGGCAAGGTGAAAGAGAAGAAAAAAAGGAAGGCCAAGGACAAGAAGCCAGGAACTTAGCAGTGCAGGAATTTAGTGACTCCCTCCTAGCAGAACTTTCTAAACATGCTTTGCATATCTTTGCATTTTGGGCGACACAGTCTGCAGGGTTCTTCACACACAAGGGTGTCACACTTGCTGTTTTCTCCAAGCCAGAAACCGATACCAGGCACTGCCAGTCCCTCCCTCTTGGGTCTCAGGACGCGGGTGCCGCAAAACACACTCTTGCCCTTGTGATCCTTGACTTCGTGTTGCTTCGTGCGTTCGCGGTTGAGTGATCCTTTTTTTTTCCGGCTCTCCAAGGGCGAAGAAAGAAGAAGAGCAGCAGATGGACTTTCCAAGCGCTTTGCCTGGCATTGGCTGCGCTCCGATCCACCGCGATCGGCTCGACCAGTGGGCGTTCCCGGTGCCGTAACGGACGGAAGTCAATGGGTCCAGCCACATGCTGGAAATTCACTGCAAGCTCCTCCTAAAGCGTGGTCTATGTACCCCGCACCTCCTTCAGGTCAGTCACCACTTTCCAGTCCAGGCACCGTGGAGGTGGAGGTCCTTGTCCTTCTGCCGATGCATCTTCTCGCCTTTGAGCCTTTAGGTGCCCCAGCTGAGCCCGCTGGTGGCGAGTCGGTGGAAGAGACCATCCGGATGCTCAAGGACATGGGCTTCGACGACGAAAACCGAATCCGACGCTTGGAGAGAGACCGACGTTCGGTGGACCATGGGGTGGCCATGGGTGGCCAAGCATTTCCTCTTCTTATGACACCGACATGGGTGGCCAAGCCCTGTTTCGCCGCCCGCCAGGGATTCTGAAGGATTCTCCGGAAGCTTGCTGAGTCAATAAAAAAGCATCATGAAGTGTCTATGTTTTCCGCCCCCCTCCCAACTCCAACCCTTCGTGCCAATGGAGAAACCTTCCGGGATCATCCAATGTCTGCCCTGGCTGGACACCCTACACTTATGATTGTATAGGGACCTCCATTGGACACCCAAACAGGATGGTCCAGGTGGTGATTGACTGTTGCAGGCATCCCATGCCCAGGATAGATGAAGGGCTCTAGGAGGGAACCTGGCAGGGAACCCGATCCATAATAAAGACCTTATAACACTCAATGAATGATCCACAATGATCACTGTTGTGGGGAGTTCCCCAACACCCTAACCTCACCCATTGGGCCTCCAATGAACCTGCTTGGTGGGCCCAGACTGGCACCAAGGAGTTGTGCTCGAAGCCGTTGGCAATGATGTCGAGAAAGCAGTGCCTGTCCTTCTCTCTGACCATTGACATGCCTGTCCTTGGACGTCTCCTGGGTGAAAAGAACCCGCAAATGGCGCAGGTCCGAGTCGCAAGGTGCTCACCAGGCAGATCCAGACAGTCCTGCTACTGATGCTACTGTCTCTGTTGAGCGAGTAGGGACTGATATTCCAATCGACCAGTAAGTATTGTTTTGATTTTCCTAGGGCATGCTTGGATTTGGAGCACGTGAAATGCATTCAGTACCCAAATGATCCGATTCTCAAGCTCAAGGCTTGCGACCACCGTGAGAGCCAAAATGCTGCTTGCAAGGGAGATGTGTCAGTGCCACATATATTTGCTACTTACGTGGTCAAAGATGGACGAGTGCTCGTTCCAGTGACAGATGTGACTTCTAAGGAACCCATTTGAATTTTGCTTGGCTAGTGAAGAGCTGTTGCCTCGTCTCAGCTCTGGAAGTAGTCTTGGTCAGCTCAACGCAAGTTCGCCAGCTCCGAGTGGCTTGGTGGCTTTGTCAGTGACTCTCCCGGCTGAAGCCCAACGCATTCCAAAGGACCTGCAGATGTCCAAAAGTCCTAAGCCTATCCCCTAACACATTCAAAATTAGGACTATACTGTATATATGTCGTTCGGAAAATGGTACTGCCACCTCCATGTTTATTCTAGTGGTCTGGGGATGTCAAGATGATGGTTCATGGTGCTTCCCAGGAATTCCCAAGCATACGGTCACTGGCACAGACCTCGGCTGCCCAACCAGAAAATCATTTGTCAGTCCTGTCACACTCCCTTCGCCAAGTCCGCGCGGGTGGTTGCAGGGCGCAGTTCTCGTTTGGTCACGAGTCGAGTTGTTCGGGTCGCCCCCACCGCAGATGGCGAATAAGACCTCGGCGGCCAGCTTTGCGGCCGGGGAACCCGGACTTCCACGGCCCCAGGGAGGACCGAAAGCGAGGTGGGAAGTTCCATCGACCACCGATTGGTGAATAGACCTGCTAATTACCATGCATCCAATCGACCTGTCATTGAATTCAATTTGAATTCAGAATTCATTCATGTTCAACATGTCCATTCTGTTGGCTTCATGAGCTTGAGGCTGAGAGTGGTATAGTGATCCTGTGACACTTTGCCGCCTCAAAGGGGCAGTCCGATATGTTCCTCGCTGCGGGGGCTTCTCACAAATGAGGAGTAATGAGGTTCAATGTGCACAAGGGCTTCCTCAAAAGATGGACGGGTGGTTCAGGAGATTTCAGGAGCAAGCGGTCCAAACCAACTTAATCGATACTGTTGCTCTGACCAGTGGACTGTAATTCCTTGGACGCTCCACGACTCCGGCTTCGGAACTCCACGACTCCACGACCTGGTGGCGTTTCCCCCCCACCCCTCATCCTTCCTCCGCCACCTCCTCCGCGACCCCAACTGCAACCACTACGCCCAAAAAGAGCTCTACCACTGTGCAGGAGGACTTCGTGTGGATGAACGGCTATCGCCTCCGGAGGTTGCTCACCTTCATCGTGCCCCGGGCAGCAGCGGACGCGGAGATCGGCAACTGCATGGATCTGTAGGGGCGTCGAATCCTCAAATTGGTTGGGCAAATGGTGCCAATGGATTTTGGCGGCCCTTTTACAATGATTGTGTTTCTGTTTTTGGTGGGCTTGCGGGTGGGGGTATGTAGTAGTTCTACAGGGGATGTTTGTTAATGATATGGGCTGTGGCCGGTGAATGGACAAGAGGACCAAGGACCAGTAGCTGGCTGGATGGTCAAACAAAGTCCGTGGAATGCCATAAACAAACCCTGGCTTCTCAGAACTTCGACCAATGCTTCCTGTGTCAAACCCTGACCTCCGGTCCTCCGGTAGGTAGGAACTGGTTGCAGTTCCACTTGTCAACCGTTTGACATGGCAGGGACTGCCTTGAGCCTTCTGAGAAGTGTTTTTTGGGGTGGATGTTTGCGGGTCCGGGTCCAACCAATGACTTCCTGCCCGAGCGGCGGTTTGTTTGGCAAGTTTTGGAGCTCCAATTCGGTCGGGGCATGTCGATGAACATGTTTGCAGTTGACACATTTTCACCACATGGCCGCATGACCTGGTTTCAACTGGGCTCTCATTTGCATGCTTGTTTCTTTACACAGTGGAGCGCTGAAAGAACCACTGTGTGGGTTCAGCTTGCGTCTCGAGAATCCCCTTCTCAGGACACGTATAGACATAAAGACTCCTTTTCCGGTGATCTCGGTCAGAAAGGTGTAGGTTGCACTTAACATGTTGCGTGTTTTTGCACAAATGTTACTCCGACCACCCCAAATCCACCTTTGCTGGACATCAAGTTCGCTCGTTGCACAGCTTCAAATCCAAGCCGAAAGCCTTGTCAGTTTGATGAGAGACTCAGGTGGTTGACAATGGTGTTTAGCCCGGTGCTCGGCGCACCGGAACGCAAGGCACGTGGGACACCATCCATGATGTGAAGCTAATTAGGAGTTCCTAAGATCAAACATGGGACAAACAGGCAGGCCTAGAAACCAATCTAAAGCCATACCTGGGCTCCACACTGATCTGCGAAGGAACGCACGCTGGGTCATCCTATCCCAGACCATCCATGCATATGGCCTATTTACCTACATCGGGGTGGTTTCAGAGGTCAACCTAGGCCTATGTTCCATACATGGGGTGGTTTGGGTCTGGGTATGTAAGTCAATGTAAGTTGATTGTATCAAGTTAAGCCACGGATCATACCCAGACATTGTGGTTGACACTCCTTGGGTTCAGCACCTCGCTAAGGGACCGGCACCCCAGTGAATTCAACCCGTGACCACAAATCCATTGTGTCCACACGTCATGTTTGCTTTGTTTGGTTGGCGCTTGTCTCAGCAAACTAAGCAGATGAAACCACACGCTTTCAACAAGTTTGAAGTTCATTGAAGCCTTCAACAGGTGTTTGTTCAAGTGCTTCCATTAGGACCCATCATGGGTAAGGTTAAGGTAACGAAACCTACAAACAGTATCAAACAGTGGATTCTCAATGAGCCTCATGTCCATCCCTATCAACCAGGAAGTGAGGATTTTCTGAAGCGGCATTGGGGGCTTGAGGAATCTGGGGGGGCACATTTTATCACATTATGACAGTGAGGTACAATGACCAGACTGTATTATAATGGTTTCATATATTTTCATATGTATTATATAGTATTATATACACACCCCCGAAAACTAAGATGGACCCTGAGAATGGCACCCTGAAAGACTGCTTTCCGGCTTTCAGGGTCCAGGTCAGTTTTCAGCGGGATATATATATATATATTTGCATCATATTTGTTGGCTCAAAGACAACTACTGTATATATAAGCTCCCTCAAAGCTGCTTTACCAAAAAACATCGCAACAAAAACACATGTTCACCAGGCACCTAGTTGTTTTGGTCTTGGGTTGGGGGCCACGGGCCGGTCGATCCCGGTCTCGGATCGCGCCCAGGCCCGGTCATCCGAATTCGATGGCAGGTCCACGTAGGTCCACGAGTGAAGGGGGCCAGGCTCTTGAATGGGACATCCAACATTGAACGCCATCTCTATGCTGTTATTCCGAAGGTCATAGAATTGCCTAATTGATTGCATCAGCCTACATCTCCGTACCTCTCGGCAAAACATAGCTTGGCAGATTGATTCAGTTGCATTATTGAAAAATTAAAAAAAACATGTTGTATGTTTGGGCCGCGTTGTTGTGCCTGAAATCCCGCTTGAGCGTTTTAACACCCTGGAAATCACCATAGGACGATTTAGATCTCACGGCATTGGCTCGGCAAAGAAATCTGCAGAGCTCGTGGTGTGAAGCAGCTTTCACCAGACGATGCTGAAATGCAGCATGATCGCGCGTAGCAGCTCTCCTGGCAGTTCGTCGATGCCAGGATAAAAGACGCCAGGAATTTGCAGGTGAAGCGAGAGAGTCCAGTTGAGAGACAAGCAATGATAATAAGAGATGCCTATGCCTATAATTATCGAGAGAAGGCTAAGAGATCATAATAGATGCTTCCGGAATGTTGGTACAAGTAGTTTGAAGGATTGTGGTGGAGGAATCTTTGGCCGCAATGTTTGGGCTCGTGTATCAGTGGGCAGGCCAATTAGAGCGATGATAGGCCATAGCGAAGAGGGCCAGTTTGGGGGGGCCAAGTTTCGGCATGTCCCTGTCCCGTAGAACCGAACGTCAGCTGTCGCCATTTGGGACACTTAAGGAGACACGGACACCGGCCTGCCCGGGTCGCACGTTTCGTGAAACCACAAGTCCATGAAACCGCTGGATCAGTCCTTCATGATGCACTCAGGGTGCAGATCGTCAGGATTGACTCCACTATAACTGAAGGACCGGGGCGTGGAACAATAAATCCTCAGACCCCGACCCCACTTTTTATGGGGTGAGTGCGGGGCGCCCAAACACTTTCACGCGCGAGTTCCCAGCAGAACGGCAAATGCTGGGGGTGTTCCAGGGCATTCTTTAGCTTCGTTTCCTTTTCTTTATGGCCGGTTTGTTGGAGTTCGTTTTCGGTCTACCAGCCACGGATGCCCCGCCTATCTAGTTTTTCCCGGTAGAACCACCCGCGGCCGAAATAACACCGGGCAGCTT